TAATCACCAAATAACTTATTTCATTTATGTCATTGTCTGCTTCTGTCTCCTTGAACCCCAGTCGGCCTCAGCAGATGGCCGCTCACACTGAGCCTGGTTCTGCTGGAGGTTTCTTCCTGTTAGAAGGGAGTTTTTCCTCTCCACTGTCACTATAAACATGCTTGTATGAGGTTATTATTAAATACATTGTTTCCGATCATAATTTCTGGACTGTGTGAACTTGCTTAAATCAAAGGTTTTTAATTGGCTGTTGGATCATTTTTAGCTGATCTGGTTTCTATGTGCTTCTTTATTTATGTATATTAAACAATGTTTTTCCTGATCTGATTGTTCCTGTTTCTAATTGACCCACAGGATGTCAGTGAAGCTTCGGTTCAGCTCGCCGTCAGACGGGGGTCTGGTCCACAGGAGCCGCTCTTTCACGGGGTTCAGCTCGCTGAGCGGCCGGCCACGGTGAGCGAGGCCTCAGGGGAAACCCCGAGGACCACAATGAGCCACTGCGGTTCCTCTGTTTGCTTTAAGGAAAACAGTGACTGTGATTTTTTTCTTATCTTTAGAGGACTCTAGTTGGGTTGTTATCAAACTGAGAGGAGCGACAGTTTATCTCAAGGGTTCATCTTAGAAAAACTTGGAGAATATTTCATTCAAGCAGCAGAAAGTCATTAACTCTTGATTTAAAATTGTAAGATTAGAAAAATGATGTCAGCTTCAGACAAAGATTCCTTCCTTATCCTTCGAATGTGAAAAACCAGAAGAACCCGGTTTCTATGAAAGCTTTTTCCAGCTGCAGACTCAGAAAGCTGAGCAGCTTGTGCAGGTTAGTCACAGTCAGAGAAACAGGACTACACTGAAAATCAGGCCAAGCTCCAACATCTAAAAACAAAGGTGCTGATGGCAGCAGCACAGCTGATATTTCTCTCCAGGATTGTTTCTTATCTAAATTTCATCCTCTATAATTTCATCAGTAATTGGTTAGCATGTTATTAATGTTTACATAAACTAATACATCCATTAAATGCGTATAGTTATTTATCTCTAATTACACTGAAGACTCTTAGATGGCTTCAATGGTCACATAACTTTCCTATCAGTTGCATTAAAAAAAAAAAACTATAACCCCAAAATTAGAATTAATTCAGTTTATCATATTTAATTTCAGTATGTTGACGGGAGTAATTACCTTTTGTAATTTTTTTTATCAGTTTGTTGTTAATTAACAAAGAATTTCACTTAAGAGCATCACAGCAACGAGCCTCTGGTTTAGAGGGAAACTTCTTCTGAATTATGTAACCTGGTACGAGTGGCCAAGGATTGGCTAACGGTGTCATGCTCCGCCCCCATCTAGCTCGGTCCTTTAAAGGAGAAGTCTGGTCATCCAGGAATAATCAGTGGATCATTATTTATAACTGAAACTAATACGTTTGATTTAATGAATTTAGCGTTAATCAATAAAAAAATTAAAACAATAATTTCGTCTAGGAGCGGCCATTTTTTGCCCAAATATAGTAACCCCTCCCTCCTGCCATCTTCCAGCAGTGACGTCACGGTGCGGTAAGCCTAGCGCCATTCGCCCCGCTTTACAAGAAAAATTTACAATTTCTTTTATTGGATTGGCTGGAAAACTGTTTTTTAAACGAAAATCTTTAATCTGCACTCATTTTGGGTGTTAATGTATCTTATAGCTGTCCCAGGCGTAACACCGGGACTGTTCAGAAACACCTGGAGGCATAGGGCCGATTGCTGATGATGCAGAAGTGGAAGCAAATCATCAAACCAGCAACGTCATCTCCTTACCTAAAAGTTAAATTTAGGATTATTTACAGAATTACACACAGGCGGCCATGACTTCTAAATCCTCTCCTGCTGTTGTGGGATTGAAGGATGGAATCAATTTTAACACACCAATCATCTCATTATGACGATAAAACGGCTTTGTTATCTTTAGGTAATGAGAAAATGAACTCGTTTTCTCAAGAAAACCACCATGAAAAAGTATCGGAGGAACACGGCCGCTCTGGGCTTCCGTAGATTGAGACATTTCTAGATTAATCAACCAGTCATATGAAAAAACAAATCAAAAAGAGCCAGTAGTAACCTACTACTTCTGCCCAATGCTCTGATTTATCCAACTATTACTCAACATCATCAGTAGGAGCAAAGAGAAGAGTTTGCTGAGGCTGCGAGTTGGATTTAGAAAAGATAAATCTATATTTCAGGTAGCGTCCAGGTTCATCCACTCATCATCATAGATCTATATTTCAGGTAGCGTGTCGTCCAGGTTCATCCACTCATCATCATAGATCTATATTTCAGGTAGCGTGTCGTCCAGGTTCATCCACTCATCGTCATAGATCTATATTTCAGTTAGCGTGTCGTCCAGGTTCATCCACTCATCGTCATAGATCTATATTTCAGGTAGCGTGTCGTCCAGGTTCATCCACTCATCGTCATAGATCTATATTTCAGGTAGCGTGTCGTCCAGGTTCATCGTCATACATCGTCATAGATCTATATTTCAGGTAGCGTGTCGTCCAGGTTCATCCACTCATCGTCATAGATCTATATTTCAGGTAGCGTGTCGTCCAGGTTCATCCACTCATCGTCATAGATCTATATTTCAGGTAGCGTGTCGTCCAGGT